CCTCCACCTCGAAGTTAATCTAGACTGCTCTCGGCGAACCTTAAGCGACTGCAATCCCACCCTCCAAAGCTCAGCAAAACCACTTGGGCTCACTACTAGAACTTGACGCTGAAAAAATCGTGCGAAAGCAATCACCTAAGGGAGAACGTATTTGGGATGAATGTGGTCGTCTCTTTGTCCGGTACAAGGCGGGATGACAGCTATCCAAAATGGAAATTTCCCGTGAAAAACTCATCTGTCATGTTCGAATGACGTACCTATCTACGCCCCCTCTATCTCCGGGCTATGACGTGTTTTTAGGAGGCGCGATTTCGAATCTGGTCTGTGCCCTCGAGTCTTCGTAGAACTCCGCGGTTTTGTGATGATGCATAACTTGCGCTGAAACGTTTAAGAGGAAAATCAAGCGGTTTCAGTTCGCATTCTCTGAAACTTTCTGTGGTTTTCCATGTTTTGGTGAGGTACCGATAATTTTGTTTTTTTACAGCTGTCACGAACGCGAATAACACTACCAGCTCGATGTAAAAAATGCCCTCACCTGCAATGTTTCGATTTGTACAACTACCTGCAAATGAACGAGAAACGTCCAACATGGCGATGTCCTGTTTGTAGCGATTGGGCACCGTACAAGCTGCTCATTATTGACGCGTAAGTTGAAAGCTATATATTTTTTTATTTCCTTTAGGTAGTTCTCCTTTAGGTGATTGCTTTCGCACGATTTTTTCAGCGTAAAGTTCTAGTAGTGAGCCCAAGTGGTTTTGCTGAGCTTTGGAGGGTGGGATTGCAGTCGCTTAAGGTTCGCCGAGAGCAGTCTAGATTAACTTCGAGGTGGAGGGCTCATCAGATCCATTACTGGATGTAATTGTTTCTTCTGAGCGAATCAATCCTGGGGGTTCATTGCCTAGTAGCACCAATTCAAAGTTTTTATGGGATAGTCAGCGCAGTTTGACGACGGGGGGGCATTTTGTACTATCATTGCTTCCCTAGTTCCGGTTTACAAGTCTCACTCTGGCGAAACCTGTGAACTCTTGTGAAGCTGGAGCAAGCTCATCTAGCCATCATGGTAAAACCTGTCAACTCGAGAAGAGGCTGCCTAGATAGGTCGACACGTCGATGGGAAGTAGCGAAAGTGCAAAATGCCCCCCCCCCCGTCGTCAAGCTGCAACGGGATAGTGTAGTGGCCTTTGAACTAGGCCTGAAAACGCAAACAGTATTGCAAGGCTACTTGAATTTTAATCTCTGATTCTTCTACCGCTATTGTGGTTGTTGTAAAGTTGGACTGGTCCAATTTTGCAGTTCTGTGTAAGTCGAAAAATCCCGTGCAAGAAAGCCGAGTTCGTAATGAAATTTCTGTACTATTCACTTGTTA